TGTGTTTTAATGCATTTCCCTTCCAGCGCATCGCGGCGCACATACTGTACGCACGTTTCGGTTCCTGCATGACCTCATTGTTTAAGCAACATGTTTGTTGTGGAGCATATGGCCGACTCTGTGTGTGAGTGTAATGAGCTCATCCTCTCCCCCGCCATGCAGCTTTCTGTATGGAGCTGAGGATGTTGAGCAGCAGGGAGAGTCATTGAGAGGACACACGGACTGAAACAAACACATGCGCACACACACAGTTCCCAGCTGCTAACCTGTTTTGGATGGTTCTCCACCTGACTTTGTTAGGTGGTTTGATAGATTTCTAGGTTACGGTGCTTTCGATATCTGTAATCTAGACCGCTACAAAGGACGTATTAGATGCTTCTGTTTGGAGTTTGGGGTTATCCTGATAAGTATAGAAATTTGCTCACAGGAAAAGTCTCTGATGGCCCTTTCAGCCTAACTGTTTCCTTTCAGGGGCAGCTGTGAGCGCAACAACAAGTTACTGAACTGTAGTTCTGTAAGCATGTAGGAAATGTGACCAGTTGTTGCCTCAAAATGCTCACAAGGAAAAACCACTAAAACTCATCTAAAACAGGCTGTTTGTCAGTTCAGGAATGTAAATATTTAAAGGAACAGTTCTGTAATTTCTGTTTTCATTGCTGTGTAGGATCCAACAGTTTTATTGAAAAAAAAAGATCAATACCGACTTTGCCAAACGTGACTAGTTCTATGAGCACGTAAGAAATAGAACAATTGAGTTTTTGTTATGTCAGCTTATGAGGTGAATTTTATGCTGTTGATTTTGATGTTGGAGAGAACCAGACTAAACTCTGCATACATAAATGTTCGATGTAGTCTTTGGGTTGAAGCCAATGCAGAAGTGTCTTAAACCTTCATTGTGACAGCCAGCAGGGGGCGACTGTTCCCGTGCAAAAACATTGTATAGAAGTTTATGAGAAAATAGCCCGACTTCCCCCTTGATCTAGTACCTCAGTAAACATTTTCCTCGTGAGTTTTTAGTCTGAATTGCTAGTTTTAAGACTTTTAGATTACAGCTTGATGTTCAGTTTATAACTTGTGATTCTATTTAGAGTGAAATATATCATAAAATGTGTTATGCTGCAGGGTTGGGGTGCAGTGTTCTCCTGTTATCACATCTGGTTTCAAAAAGCCAAGATGGCAGCAGTGGACATCTAGAGGGTCAAAAAAAACTGTGCTTGGCATCTTAGAGTTTAACCAATCAGGGTCGAGAGCCACAAAGCAGTTCAGTCCTTCTCCCCTAAGGATGAACCTGACACACGTTTGACAGGGATTGTCTTGTTGTTTTAACGTGCACAAATGGCTGCAAGTTTCAAGTAACATATTGTGAAAATTAGATGAAAAATAGATGACGGAACACTTACTGTATTGTCAAAGGACTGCATTCTAAATTTGTCGTTTTTCATAATGTGGAGATACACAGCAATTTTCAGATGTGACATATTTGTGCCAGCTGTGGGGAAAATCCACATTCTGACTCAATTTATATGATTTCAGTTGCAGTCATGTAAATGGCACTGTAGGAGATGCTGTAATCCACATAGGAAGGCCCTCTCCTTCACTTCAGGTTTTGTTGTGAGAAAGTTGCTCTTATATAGGTCATGCACTGTGGTCCTTCTGATGCCTAGAGTTATTTTAATGTCATATTCGTAGCAAGGGACATCTCCAAGTCAACCTGATCAATTCACTTGGACATTTAGTCTGGTCTAATTTGACTGATTCACTGTGTCCACTCAGCTGTTAAAAACCAGTATGTACAGCGCAGCTCTCTTTATCATACATACATACCACAGAGGTCATACATGTATGCATAGACTGTTGTGCACCGTTTCCTTCCCCAGCCGCGGCCGTGCGTATGCGTATGTAAAGCATGTTCGGGGCGGCGTGGGTGCTGAGATGCAGTGTGTGGTCTGGAGGCAGTAACAAAGAGTTGACAGAGGGCTGCAGAGATTCAGGGCGAGGTGCCAATGAAGTCAAGTAGAAATGTGTGTTCAGGCTCATGCACACACCTTGTCGTCTGATCTTGGGGGACATCTGCTCTGGTCCGGGTCACTGGCAGCGAGCGCTTGGTTGGGCTCCACGGCAACCGCGTCGCACAATCCCATCCCATCTCATCCCGCCCGGCGCGACGTGATTGGCCTGCTACCCCCGGGGGGCACCGAGACGACGACTCAGGCTCTGTCTGCTGACTCGCTGTGTCAGCTATGGCTGCGAGTCTGTGGGCTAAGGAGCGACTCGCACATTAAAGGAACGTTTTGGAGGATTTTGGCAGGAGACGGTGTGAATTATGCAGACGCACCTCCACCGTCCATGTGTCTGTTTGCGCAGGGGTGCCAGTGTGAGGTCTTCATGAATAACAAGCTACTCTAAACAGATACTTTCTCACTTCACCGAGTCTTTAAAGTTTGCGCGCCTTCTGTTATTTAGCAGCATCGTGATATTCTGCTGCCACACCCCCCTCGCTGCCTCTGTCTGTTTTAGAGGTCCCTTCACTTCAGAAAAGACATTTGCAGCAGCGTGAATATTATTCCTTTCCCTCTAGAATACAGGTGACAGGCAAGTGTGTGAGAGTTACTGATCCGATTGACATGCACAGTGGAAATGTGCATTTAGGAAACAACAATGAAAGTGCGTTTGTGTGTGTTTCTCTTAATGTGGTGAACGAGGCTTCATATCCAAGATTGCGGCTTTTATATCGTGTCCTTGTTTAAAAGGATATCGCATCAAATTCCCTGAATGTGCCAACATCCTGAGATAATAATGCTGATGCTGATTTTAAAACCATCCTGAGCAATGCAATAAAGCTCTGAATAATCAAAAATAACAGCTTTCATTTCTGCCTTCATCGCTCCTCCAACTCTAGCTTTCATCCGTCCCTCCATTCCCGGTTCACGCGACACTGTAAGCTGCCTTTGAACTGACTCGTGTACCTTCACAGTTCCCTCTTACTTCACTAAAGGATACAAACAGGGGGTCTGAATTAAAACACAACTGACAGTTTGCATCCAGTTTCTCTGCTCCTCCTCTGTCCTCCCTCCCACCATTCCTCCCCTCCCTCCCTCTCTCACTCCAGCTGTCAGGAGGCTTCATTATTAAAGATTCATGGCAGAGTCTGGGCAGCTCCTCCAAAAGCTTTTGTCAGACAGACAGAGTGTCTCAAATCTCGCTGCCACTAACTGGAGGTGACGTGAAGACTTGCACAGATCCACATGCACACACTGAAGCACATTTTCCTCGTGGTTTGTTACGTTATTTTACCGTGTGCGCCGCTCTTTTTTTTGATTCACGTTAAATAAATGAATTCAATTTCTGATCCCTCTTTGAATTTCCATTAAAACATAATCGTACAATACCTCAGTCGTGAATACATTTGCTAGTGGCTGCTTCACACTAAATATGTAATGGATGTTGTAGATATCCGTTCAGCATGGTTTTATAAATGGCCCAGCTTTGACAAGGCTGTGTTTTTGTTGTAAAGGGTCATTCTCACAAAAAACTATCTCACCTGACACAAGGGCTACACTGGTTTACACATGCCAATGTTAGACCAAGTGTTTGCAATTACTCAAAATGTACTCAAAATTACTATGGAGTACATAAAGAACTGGAAAATAAAAACTGTAAAGGCACATTGTCAGTCTGCTTTTTTTTATTTTCACAGAAAATACTTGACCAAAGGTTCATTTGCTTTATTTCAGAGCTTTCCACTGCATCTTATGGCCTTCATCAGCTAATGAAAGTATCAAAACTATATATTTTTTGTTCACAATGACACAATTAAGGATCTACTGACTTTTGGTCTGGCTGATTTTTGGAGATATGCATAATAAATACCCTGTCTTTCTTGCTGTTGTCCTTTTAATGACGTACATCTGGACCCAACCATTTTTGTCCTGCAAGTTAAAATGATCAGGTTATGGGAAGCTCAAGGTTACGGGTCACTGACTTCCTGTAGTGGACAAGCGCATTAAAAGACACAAGTAGAGACACAAATTTTTAACCTATTCCTCTCCAAGTCTGTAGTCACTCGCTGGTCTTGAGCAACGTCCCGCCCACAGTGCCATCTGTTGGCTTTACCCTTACGAGTAATAGCTCATCAACACTGAGGAATAAATGCTGAGACGTTTCTTTTCATAAAACATATGTAAAGCAAATATTGATCTTCCCTTAAACAGAATAATTAGTCCTTATTTTAAACCAAGAAAAATTCCTACTTCTGTTTGATTATCAGACATAAACGAACCATTTATTGTCTTCATGCATACTGCGTTTTGCACCATCCGATTTAGTAAATTCCACTTTCTCCTGGACAATTTTCAAAGGAAATAAGTTACATGCCACTGAGAGAAAACAAGAAACCTTCACAAGCATCCCATTGTCAAACCACTCATTACTGATAGAGACGTATCTGCTACTTGTTGGGCTTCAGAGTGATGTTTAGTGGCTCTTTTCATCTTCCTACAGATAATAGAAAATTCAGCCAGCCTCTGCTTTTTTTTACCCCCCCATTCATCCTCTTCAGTGTTTTTATGCTTGAGTTTGAAGAATGTGGACTTAAAATTTGCTATTCATACAGGGAGAGAAGAGCTGTACAGAATTTGAAGGCACTTGTCATTTGATACAGGATACAGACGGGCTTTATCACTGAAGGCCACTGATTTGTGTGTGTGTGCATTTCAGCTCCATTAAGCTGTTATATTTTCATTAATAGGCTTATGAAAACGGATTTACTGTCTTTAAAAAATGATGTTTGAATATGTCAACTTGTGAAATTTGACAGTGAAGTTGATGTTTTAAATGCACATAAATGGTTACAGGTGGAATCCTTTTTGTCATAAAGAGATCAGTCCAGAACCACCACAGTCAAAAACTGGACTCATACAAAGTGTTGGTGCTTACATGCATATATTAGTGTTAATCTCCTCATCTGTGTTTTTTTTTTTTGTCTGTATTTGTTTGTACAGAAAAGCCACAGAACAGCAGAAGAAGGTGGTGGTAGCAGGGTGTGTTCCCCAGGCTCAGCCCCGCATGGAATACCTCAAAGGGCTGAGCATCATCGGGGTATGTATACTTCATCCATGCATCTGTGAAAGTGTTACGATGAAATGAAATAACCTTTCTTAATCCCACAGTGGAGAAATTTGCATTGTTACAGTAGCAAAGGGGATAGAGCAAAGAAATATCAGTAGAAAAATGACAAAAAGAATGAAAAAACCCCACCGTAAGTACTAGTTTAGATGGGGGCTGCAAAGTGGATTGGTGGCTAGCATCGTGGTCTCACAGCAAGAAGGTCGCCGGTTCGCGTCTTGGTGAGGACAGCTGAGATCTTTCTTCGTGGAGTTTGCATGTTCTCCCTGTGCAGCGTGGGTTCTCTCTGGGTTCTCTGGCTTCCTCCCACACAGTCCAAAAACATGCTGAGGTTAACTGGTGATTCTAAATTGTCCGTTGGTGTGGATGTGAGTGTGCTTGGTTGTCTTTCTCTAAGTGTAGCCCTGTGATTGACCTTAGTGAGGATTAAGCGGTGTAAAGATAATGAATGGATGGATGGATGGATGGATGGATAGTTTAGTTGTCCAGATACCTCTGGATGGGAGTAACAATATTGTACACATCAATGACGTTGCACAGATTCTTTCATGAGTAGGAATACTGATAGAAAAGTATTATTATTGCACAAGATTTGTCTGTAAGTATAAAGACATTGCTCAGATTCTTGTATATGTAGAAAAATTGATATTTCACAGTTTTTTTTATGTTCATACATCGTGCTCTATACGTCTGCATGCATCCCTTTGTTTTTATTTGTGTAGCTGATTTAAGAGTCAACAGTTAACATAAGAACAATCAGAAACATGCTGATCTGACAACAGGAGACAACAAACATCCTTTCATCTAGATGCCTGTTAAGCTGTTAATAAGACAAACAGCAGGTTCAGGATTTTGGTTATTTTCAATTAAGAGAATGTGTTTCATTTATCACCTGCAGCAATTAGTATGTATAGAGTGCATAAGAAAGTGACACAGAATGGAACAGCTTATTTAATGTTTTCAAGTCTTTCTCCCCTCTGAGGGAGTATAAATATTTGTCAGTTCTGTCACTATTTAACAGCGAAATAAGTGTTTGTCATTGAATAATTCAAAATGTTTGTTTGAGTGAGTTATGTGAGTTATTTGAGGTCATCCTCCCACTTAAAGTGCTTCAATTAAGGATGCACAGTTAATCAAATTTTAATCACAATATTGACTTCCTACAATTAAATGTACGACTACAACTCTGCTAGTAGAAAACAGTCCACCTAAATAAAATCATTTGGTTTCATTTTGGGTAACTCCGATGTTAGATTGCCTTGTTTCGCTCTTTGCAAAGTCGCTTTTGGTGGCAAACCCTTGTACGTTGCCTGCACAGTGGTCACTGAATGTGGAGACAAGATGCTTCTCTGCTTACGGCCACATAGCTAGTTGCTTTCTTGTTTAGGGAAAATCTTTAAATTGTCTATCAATAAGCAGACGTTCAGCCATTGAGGCATTTCGGAGACCGTCTTATGTTGATCCAAAGATTTGTATGTTAGCAGGAAGGCAGCACAACATGAAAGTGAAAGCTGTTTATTAAAATGTGAAAGTGCGGCATAAACAATTTCTCCATATATATATATGAATAACTGAGATCTTTATATTAATCAGAATAACTGAGATGAACACTTTGGCCATAATTGTGCAGCCTTACTCAAAATACATTCTAATATTTTAAATGAGGAGTTTGCAGTTTGCAGCACTAACAGGCATAAAGATGCTAGTCGGTCTATTTGGACGTATCACTTATTCATGCATTCCTTTGTTCACCCCCATGCTCACCAAGAACCAGAATTTGCCTTCTAAATCACCCCAGAAAACTGTGATCTTAATTTGACGTAATGCTGAATTTATTTGCCCGAGTAACAAAACAAACTGCCTTGTTGAAAATGGGGATAAATGGAACCAGTCCAATATCCGCTGCTGATTACTGCCACTGTCTTATAAGTAATGAGTTGGGGGGGAGGCTCAAATGTTATGTTAAATATCCTTTACCATAAATAATGTTATTCCATCTGAGTAAACATGCCACTGTAACATAATTACATTCAAATAAAGTGGCATGTATGTATAATATAATTACATTCAGATAAACAGGCGTGTATATCTAGTAGCCTTCAGGGGGAGGCAGAAACAGCTGGGAAGTTTACCACTGCAGGTCCCTTCGTCGTCGCGATTGGATTATGCATTGATACACGTGCACGCACATGCATATGCACGCGTTGGCGCACACACTAATGGACGTATGCACGCATGAACAGACATGTACGCTAACAAGCGCAGACAGAGGTATATGAGAATGCATATCCTCCCCTTGTGTGTATCCTTGGTAGTTACAATCAGCCTCGTAATGACGGCGGCAGTTGGTGGGTTATGCAAATCAGATGCAAATAACCAGTTGAAATTTGTGTATAGTGATTGCACTAATGGCTAGATAAGGGGTGCAGTTTAAAAAAAAAAGTGCTTCCTGTTGAATTCATTTGGTTTATTTGACCTTTGTGTGTGCGTGTGTGTGTCTCCTTTCATGTGTGTTGCTGTTGTGTTTGTGCCGCTAAATGAATGACAATGCGTGTATTATGTGTAAGGTACACAGGCAGTCACGCAAGCCTGCAGTGGAGACCTGTCACATCTTGTATCTGACACACACTCGTACAGAGGATCACAATAAGGAAGCAGTGTTGTTCGCTTGAAATGCCACACATCAGTGTTTCCACAATGCAGTATGTGAGCAAGATATTTTAGCCAAATTGCACAGAATTCTATGCACCTCGCTTGACTACTTGTGGCAAGTTTGTATTGTTAGAAACACAAATTGACAGCTCAGCTATATCAAATATGATTCATATCTACTCCAAATGGTTTACAGTGGATTTTTACATTTTTACTAAAAAGTGCTATGTCTATACAGTATTCATTCCCCTAAAACTGCCCGAAGAAAATGCAGCTTCTATACTATTTTAAATGGTCCTTGTAATTTCTACTCTGTTCTAGAGTACACAAAATAATAGAAAAAAGCTCAATAGAATAGAATAGAATAGAATAGAATAGAATAGAATAGAATAGAATAATTCTGTTGATCTGCCATTGGGGGAAATTTACATGCCACAACAGCATCCAAAAACATAGAAAGAAAGTACAAGAAAACAACAACAATCAAGCAATAAGCATCCCCGGTGTCCACACACAGCAGGTCCAAGGCCCCATCATCTCCGGTTGGACAGTCCACACACTGGCTGAACGTGGGGAGAGTGCTAGAGAGCGATGTATGATTAAAGTCTCCTGAGATGACGATCAGAGACTGAGGGTGTGATGTTTGCAGCTGGGACACTGAACTATGGATGAGTTCACAGGCCTCAGCAGCATCAGCCGAGGGGGGGGATGTAAACTGCAATCGCCAGGACGTGTGAAAACTCCCTCGGCAGGTAAAACGACTGCAAACCAACCACCCCTCTTCCTCCTGTGGAGCTCATCGGGGATGTCAGTCTCTCCCACGACGGTGGCTTGGCCTGGCTCAGCGCCAACAGCTGTTCACGAGTGTCAAACAATGGAGCCATGGCTCAATGGCTCAACGGCTCAACAGACGTGGACCCCAAAAACTCGCAAAAACAAAAAAGCAAAGAACAGACCAACAAAACCGCCATCTGCATCTCCACTGTTCCCGCACAAATGTGGTACAGTTGCGAGAAACGAAAATATCAAAAAGACGGTATAAAACTAAAGTAAATAGCCCAAAACATAGAAAGCAGGTAGGAGCCGCTGCAACTGGCTGCCACTCTCACAGCGCCATAGCAACTATTCAAGAAATAGTTGTCGAGTCAGTTAGCAGTTAGTTGCTAGTTATGGCTAAAACCAAAAAGCTTAATGAGCTTGCTGTTAGGGTCTATCAGTTTACAGAAAGTTTAGTGTTGTGGTTGCTAAAAAGACAGAAAAGGCTGTTGTGCCAGTGGCTGTAGTGCAAAGCATGGTCAAAAGATACAAGGACGTAGTGAGAAGCCAAATGGGATCCCTTTACTGAATGAAAATGCAAGAAGCCGAGAAGAATCCAAGTATCACCATCAAGACCGTGTTGATAAATCTGAGCAGTTCTGGTACCAACATCTTAAGCCAGAAACTCCACCAAAAACTGACCTGGTCTCCACTGACGCTGACCAAGAAGGACTAAGACAGGTGGCCAAAAGCTGACCTAGCCTTTGCTAACCTTTCGCAAGATGACACAAGAATGGAGTTGTTTGGATACAGAGGCATGTTTTTCATGTGGAGAAAGAAAGGAAAATCACTTCACTCCAAGAACACCAACCCAACAGTCAAGCATGATGGAGGGAATGGGATACTATTCAGCAAATGGGCCAGCAAAGTAAACGGCATCATGAGAAAAGTGGATGACATTAAGATTCTGGAGAAAAGGCATTAGGCAGTCTGCAGAAAAATCTTGGCCTTGGGCAGCATTTGGAGCTTCCAACAAGATAATAATTGCAGCCAAAGTGGTCAGGAAATGGTTAAAAGAAAACAGTATCAGAATTTTGGAGAAGCCAGAGTCCTGGATCACATCGGGAATCTGTGGAAGAAGCTGAAGACCAGAGTGATGGGAGAGAAGCCTTCACCAAAGAGGAGTGGTCCAAAATCCCAGTGGAGACGTGCTCTTAGAACATTATCAGCACCATGTGAGTGCTGCAGTGCCATTGATCACTGAGGAAAATGTATGAATCGTTTTGGACGGCAGTTTAAGTAAAAACATAAAAGCCAGAAGAAAGACAGAACGTGGTACAAGACTTTTACTGTATTCTTTTGATTTCTAAGAATGTAAATGTGGAAAATATTTTCTTTTTTGTTCACAAAGTTAATTTCTTTCTGATCCTTTATTTACAAGCCAGCATTTTTTTCCCCTCCCCCATAGTTTGGTGTGGACATCCCATCTGTTGAAATGTTTGAAGAGTTTCTTGCTGGGTCTATACATCGTCTTTTTAAATGTTCATATCCTTGGTGTACGGTGGATGTCGGGCTGCCTAAATATGCTGAAAATATATGTTTTCTTTTCAGCGTATTGTGTTTCAAGTTTTCTTTTTTTTTGACTCAAACAATATTCAATGAATACAAAGCAGGATTTGAAAGGAGCCAGAGCTGAAAATCTGAATTAATGGCTGAAATGTATGAGATACCCGACCCTTACTGTAAGTGGGAACGCCCGCTGCTGCTCTGAATGGACCCAGATTGCCTCACTATTACAAGGAAATAGGTTTTATTTCAGTTCGTAACGTGCATTTAAGTGCTGCCCGCAAAGCATAGTGTGCCATCCGTGTGAGTGTTTGTAAGAAGGTTTTTATTCTGAGTAATGGACCTGGAGGCATTGAGAGCCGGGTGCCACGGGCAGCGGCGTGGACCTCTGAGAACGGAGAAAGTGAGCGGATTAGAGTTGGAAGGGATGCTGGGAGGAATGAAAGGAGAAATAATGGCAGGAGAAATTATAAAGTTTATTCCCCTCCATTTCTTTTTCTGTTCCTGTCCAAGCCTCTCGATTTGTTTTTGTCATTCGTTCACCTTCCTTTTCTCTTTGCAACAATTCTGCACGATGGAATTAGTGCTTCTTCTCATTAAAATGTCTCATTTAGTGTCCAGCTCAGTCTCCTAAAAGTCCGGCTCTTATTAAACTATTAAACTCAGGCCAACAGGGTCTCGGAGGCTTATTTTCTATACATGAATTAGCGGTATTTCAGAATACTCCTTGGCAGAACTGCAGAATTTTATGTAAAGATTCTTTCTTAATCTAGTGTGTTATTGCTTGGTATTGTTACCGCTATGATTGCCTGTCACTCTCCGAACTTTTGCCTCTTTTAATCTGTAAAATCACGACGATACGCCATATACAAGCTGTTGCACCTACATACACACTGACTGGCATTTAGGAAATCCATATCGCTTAATCCCGACTGGAGAAAGCTTAGTGTTGATCGTATCTTTTTTGCACTTGTTTGTCCGTGTGCTCCTTGTGTATATTTACACGCCCGATTTGTTTAAATGCGGATAAGTATACGTGCGCTCGCGTGTCGTCAATATCAGGCTTTTGTTTGACCGTGTGGACTTGGTTCGTCTGCATCAATAAACTTTTTTTCCCTCGTGTGTCTGTCTTGCATTTCAGGTCCAACAGATTGATCGAGTGGTGGAAGTAGTGGACGAGGCCGTTAAAGGTATTTTCACAAAGACACACACACACACACACACACACACACACACACACACACACACACACACACACACACACACGCAGCCACTTGTATGAGCAAGTGAGCAGCAAAGCATTGATCAGGGAATGAATGAATGAATGAGTGCTTTCACTGTTAGAATAGGAAATTAAGTTTTTCAGCTTTTGTTCCCTGTATGAATAACTTTCACGCGCTGGGAATGATTTTACTGTCAAGAGGAGCCCATTATCAAATAACGACGCTACATTGTTCTAACATGAACCATTTGATTCAGAGTAATCACTGGGGGGGTGTCATTAGAGAATTTGCTCCAAGTGAAAAGAAAGAGTTTGGATCACAGGATGGTTGATTTTATGATAGAAACTGACCAACAAAACTTCTTTTCTTTATTACACGGGCTTAGACTGACGTGCGTTTAAAAGCGAAGTCATCACGTTGCTTTTTGGATTCCGTCTGAGCCGCTCGTTAAGTGGAAGCTCACTGACGGACTCACATGGCAGTGATTAGGTCATCCATTTAAACAGATAGTGAACCAGCGCACTTAGCTGTTTAATGAAGGTCAGAGAGAGTTTACAGTGTGAGAGTGTCCAGTCAAGCTGTCATACACCCCCAGCTGTTCTCTAATAAAGAACAGATTGACTTTACAGTGTGTGTGTGTGTGTGTGTGTGTGTGTGTGTGTGTGTGTACGAGTTTTGCACTGCAGGCCTCGTTCTAATGAAGGACAGCTGAACTAAGGCTTAATTTTACAATGTGTCATCAACCCTAAATCGTCTGGCGATGCACAAGCTTCACATTCACACATGCACACTGTGACTTTTATACCCTCTTTCTTCTTCTATGATTTGCTCATTCTTTCCTTTTTCCTTCCATTTCCTTCTGCATCTTTTGATCCCTTTTTTTTTTTCTTTTTTCTTTTCTTTTTTTTTCCTCCACCTCCTTCCCTCCCTTTTCCTCCCACCGTCGCCCCCTCCATAGAAACTAATTTCCCCGGTATCATTACAGTTCTTTATGACCTCGTATAAACTGAGAGCTGTTATTTCGTCTCGGAAGCCTGGGCATAAACCTTTAAGCCATGAGATTTGCCTTTCGTAATGGCTACTAAAATACTTACTTCAGTGAACTGCTAATAGATGCAGGTCTTTGCTGTGCCAAAATTGCTTGCAGGTCTGTTTTCCACATGACAAGAGTACTGCTATGTTTTTATGAACTTGGGTTCTGGAGGTGTGAGACATTTTTTTTTTTTTTTTTTTTTTTTTTATTCCGTTTGAACTTAACATCTGCCAGTCCATAAGGATAACTCACAACTGTAAAACCGCTTTTAATCATACTGCATCTATGTAATATAAAGCTCATGTTACTACCTGTTGTAAACGACAGAGCGTGTTTTTATCCTTCGGTGTTATCTATGGTTGACTTAGTGAGCGTGCACTCACTTAATTTATACAGTCTCATCCATTACAGTTACTGCACAGTCTTGTGTTGAGTGTTATTGTGCAGCGTCAGTGATTTGCTGTGTGTTGTTGTTGTCGCCGTGGTCACAATCTTCATCATCCAAGTACTTTAAAAAAAATAAAAATTAAAAATGTTTTGCGAAACAACAAACGCAGATCCTTAAAAAAATGTATTAATGACAACCATGGATGCACATTTTTACAAAGGCATCATTCTAAGTGATGCTCAACCAATGAAAATACAAGAACAAATCGTTTTTTTTTTTTTAGAGTAATTGTGAAGAAAATGTAGAAATCAGAAGCCCGCACAAAGGCTTAGAAAGCAGTTTTAACCATATTTTCTCTCTTATCACAAATGTCTGATGTATTTCTTCTTTTATAGGGCTGTTTTGATGTCTTAGTTTCTTTATTGCCTTCTAATATTGATCTTCTCTCACTGAGAAGATAGCCTCAGATGATGGTTTTTCACCTGATATTCTTTCATCATTTAGAAGCAGTTTTAGATTTAGTGTCTGTGTGTGTTTGTCACATAGAAACTGGGGGCAACAAAGGTTAGACCGGCTAATATATGTGTTTAGCTTCAGATCAGAGGCTATATGGCAACTGCATAACCTCATGAACCGTATTTCACCATATAAACAAACTGTTTGCCTTTATCAGTGCTGGAAAAAATGAAATATGGAGATGTTGGTGAGCAGATAGGGATAGACGAGACGGAGAAGAAATGATGAGAAGGCGCTAAGAAACAAGTTTAACACACAGACGGGTGGCAAAGAACAGAAAAAAAAAAACTGAATGAAAAAATGGAGAAACACAACAAATGCAGTATCTTCCATACGTGTGCATGACGGTACCACATCAGTGTCAAAATTCTGAAAACGTCTTTTCTGTGACACTGAAGGAACCAAAACTCCTGCAGCCGGCAGTTGACTGGAGGTGGAGAAGGAGGTTTGCTGCAGACCAAGTTTGATAGAAGACCAAAAGTCACAATGGAAACGGTGTCACAGATCATTTGGGGAAATACCTCAAACTTTAACAAGCAGCTCAAAGACAGACAAATGGGTCTGGACACAGAATGTGAATTGGTTAAATGCAGAGGGGAAAAAAAAAACACTTTTATCTGCCTTCCAATGTCCTCATCCAGCCTCTTCTTCTCTAATGACGCTATCTTCAAAGGGACATAGGCTAATGTGATAAAATTCTATTGCTCTGTTTCTTACATGTGCATAGAACTGCAGTTACATCCCACAACTTTTATTCATGGGTTCCTTAATGAGGATGCTGAGTTGAGAGTTAGGTGCAGATTTGACCAAAACACATATTGCATCTAAGGTCTTTCAGAGACATGGACATGGACTTCCACAGTTTATTGTAATATTACTATGTTTTGCCTATTTGCGACACCTAGCCTATTTATTGTTTTCATTTCTTAATACATCAGGCAGCTGGGTACTGCAGTAGAACTGCTCGTATCATCAGAAGACGTTTTTTGACTGACTACCAAATTCTTGATATCCCCAATACATGGTACAAGTAAGTACTTCTAATCAGACCAAGCTCATTCAGATTTTGCATCGAGATGGCCTGAAAAAAAAATATAGACGTGACTTTGAAAAAGGGGCCAGTGTTGGGGCACAGAGGGCAAGAAAGACTGCTCAACTGATTAGGGCTTCAAAGGGCACGAAAGTGATGTCTGCATTCAAACAAAGTTGGAAACTGGTCAACATTTAACGACTGTGACGCTTGTGCAGGAAGAACAGGAGAGCAGCTGTTCCTCAGGTGACTGAGGACGTGATCAGACTGTGTCAGCAAGAACAGTCCATCAGCACTTACATATAGAGGGATATTATAGTAGGTTTGCAGTGTATAAACGTCTCATTACGAAGATGAATGCACAATTGAGAACTGAGTGTTGCAGAAAGCATAGACACTGCTCTACGGAGATGTATTCATGACAAGTGCATGTGTGGTTTACATCAGGAGAACCTACAGGCTTGGTGCGTGACCCCTACAGTGAAGGGATTCGACGGCTCTGTTCTTCTGTTGGGGCATTTTATTTTTTTTTATTCTGTTTGGTTCCACTTGTCCTCTTGGAGAGAAGGGTCACTGCAGATCAATAGAAAGTTGCTCTGAGTGATCTCCTTTAATCCTACGATGAAACCTTGTTATCCTGATGGAAGTGGTCTCTTCCAGGATAACAATAACCCCGCACATGGGGCACGAGGGGTCACTAGATGGTTTGATGAGTATGAAAATGGCCAACTTCATGGGAGATTTTGGACCGAGGGCGCTCTCCACTTCCATCATCCTGTATTTATCTCCAGCAGAGTTCCAGAGACTCTGAGAATTGATGCCAAGGTGCCTTGACTGTCTTGACTGTTTGTTTTTCCTTACGTCTGTACGTTCCAACTCATCTGAAGATGTTCTGAGTAATGTTTTTTTAATGCTCCTCTGCAAGTGACAAAAGAAAGAGCCTTGTCAAGCATCAAAGTATGACTTTAAAGGGAAGTGCTTATTTGAGACGTTTGCGTTAAGGCACATTTGAAGTGATGCGTTCAATGTCAGTGTGAAATGTTTCCCATGAAAACTGATTTGACTTGGCAGGAAAACCAACCGCTTCTCCAAAGGTAGTCGTGCATTTGTATTAAAGAGATGCATCGAAAGGATAAATGACAAACATTGCACCCCTGCTGTCCCCTTCATATGCCACCTCCGTCCCCTTCCTCCCCCCCCCAATACCTCCTGCTGCTTTACAATCAAACCAGAGAGCACAACAAGAGCCTCCACTTAAGAGACATCAGACACAGGTCAACAGGTCATCCTTTTAGCTTTCTACCTCTCTCACCCCACCATCCATCTGGCTGTCCTATACATCTTTCATCCGTGATGTATTATTATTTTTTTTTCTATCATCATCCACCCATCCACCTTTTCCATCCGTCCGTCTTTCCTCCCTTTTTCTCCAGCACGTTTTAATGGGCCGTTATGAGCGGATAGAAGGATTTATGTTGGTATGTATTTATGAAGGGGAGAAAAGAACAAAGAAAGACTACAAAAAAAAAAAAAAAAGTGCAGGAGGGGAAGCAGGAGGGCAGAAATTGTGGTATAGGCTGACGTGCGTGTCTTCTGTGTCTATGTGCCGTCGCCCATCACAGCGGTCGGCCTCTAAACTCTGTAATTGAGATGACAAATAGGGAAGCGTTCTTTGCTTTTTCTTCATGTTAGCTATTTTATCTCACGCTTTCCATTCATGGTCCCCTCGGCCCTGAAATTGAATTTGGCTTTGGGTACATTCCTGGAGTGATTCCATGCTGGCACCGAGATTATTTCTCGAGTCTCGGGTGGTAGTCTCATTGACAGGGGTCCTGTGCAGTTTTTAGAGGGAAGAATATGCGGGGAGTGGCAATTTCCATGTTTTATTAGAATGGACAAGCTCATAATTTGGAAAAACATCTGGAAATCTAACACCATGCTACTTATTGCCTTCTCCTGACAAGTCTGTCTATGCAGTTAAGTATTTTTTTTTTTATTTTCCCACCACGCAGAAACAAAAAGTACAATGTGAGCCAGAAAAAGAAAAAAAAATGGAATCTCAAAAACAGATTTTACCACAAACCTGCACCAACAGGCCCGAAGCTAAATTACTGACGTTAAAGTTGGAAATTGCTCAAATGTTGTAAGGTTTATTGTTAAACGTCAACTTGCAAGCCACTGTGGTTAGTCTTAAGTGTGCAAAGGTGGAAAAGAAGAAGCTTTTAAGCCGTTGTAGATAGTTTTAAACATCTACTGTGACTGATGCAGTATTCAAAGTTTTCTTCTTCAGTGTTTTTGTTGAACCTCTCATTGTGTGTTACAAGCAGCGGGGAATTAGCAGGTGAATCTGCACAAGAATCAACAGATGGAACCACGGTTAGAGAGGCATCAGATTACAATTACAGCTTGTATGAGTTCTGAATGCTCGTTTCATGACCAAAGGCGGACGCGTACGTCTCGTGTAGACGATGACCAAATTGCGCTCCAAGTCCCAGCTGTTTTCCACGGGGGAAGTTTTCTCATTTCCTTGCTTGTACTGGGATATTAAGACCAGTCACGCCTCGCCGATTGGCTCTTTGTCCTCCTCTGGGGCAGATTGTCATTTTTATCTACCAATTGATAACCACGCTTCCTGCCCTGAACCCACCCTCCCTGGAGACCCTTGTAAAGCGGATGAAAACAGGAAGACAATTCCATCCCTCAGCGCCTCCATCTCGCTCACCTCGAGCTGGGAGCCTATTAGATGGTTAGAGAGGGGAGACTGCTGCATCCCATTTCCACACACCAAAGCCTGGACATTACTAGCTATTAGACTCAGGTGTGGATTCTCATTTGCTTTTTTTTTTTTGACACCGTGTTATCTGCTAAGTAAGACTTTCACAGCTGTTACTGTGCACATTTGATAAAAGTGTGAATTAGCTTTTTATTATTTAGTAAATACCCCTTTCCCTACATATCCGTTATTGTTTTTATTGACTGTACCTTTAAAATGAGTGAAATTTGCTTCAGCAAAGTTATTGCTGTTGCCCTACTGACCACTGTGTCCTTCATTAATTTTAATTCTACTGTATAGGTGGGACATAGGTTTATCGGTGGATGTTGTGCAATGGAAAGCTGGATTCTGAAACGTTGTATGTAAATGTAGGGCAGGGTGATATAGCTGGAAAATGTATCTCGATTAAATGTTTCATTTCAGTCGATAACAGCAATAATCGATGGTTTTTAAAGACTGATGTTTAATTAAGATTAGATCATTTTAATGTTGGCACAGCAGTTAAAAACAATCCATACACAAATACATACCCATGTGAATAAAACTCTTTGGTACACATGTAATAAAGAAAAGCGGGAGTGATTTTCTCATTGCTGTTGATCAGGTGTTGTTTTATTGCCGAGGCCTATGTAAATAAAATGATGTGCTGTATGTTTGAGTACCTGCTTAAAGAACAAAAAGATAGAAAGTGATCCAACCTTCCAAATATTGAGTTGTCTTGAATCCTGTTGTCTTTTATTTGCATGCCTAATTATGCTTCAGTTTATTCTTTGGCGTCGAGGTTTAACTATTAAAATATGGAAATGTTCAATTCAACATCCGTCCTCACATACTTCAACAATTTCACGGCGCGCCACAAGTGAAACAATGAAACAACAGAAAAATGTGACTCTGAGTCGATGTGTTCGTTTGAAAAGGTGCATCTGGTTGGGTAATATTTATATTTTTTATTTTTATTTTTACAGGCCACTCAGTTCGTCTGTTAGGTCAAAAGAAAGACGGAGGCCGAAGGCTCGGAGGAGCTCGACTCGATCTGCCCAAGATCAGGAAGAACCCTCTCATCGAAATCATCTCCATTAACACCGGGTAGGACACAGATGCACAAACAGAGAACACGATTCATAAAATATTCAGCTTTAACTGAATTCAATTTCACTGCTTCCCTGCGGTTCTGGTTTACTCTGTGTGTGTGTGTGTGTGTGTGTGTGTGTGTGTGTGTGTGTGTGTGTGTGTGTGTGTGCGCTCTCTCTCTCTCTCTCTCTCTCTTTGCACAACCACTTAAACAGAGCCCCTCTGTGCTTCTAATTTTATCAATTCACATGGTTTGCTTTGGACGTGTGTGCTAGTATGTGGGTGTGCATAGAGTGTTGTTTGTCATATGTAAATGTAATAGGAAACCAACAGGTGCCTGGACGTTTATTCCAGCTTTCATTTGACTTCTATTATAAAAGCAAGTGGGAAAAAAACAGACTGCAGACAAGGCTTCCCTCCTTTGTCACCTTTTTCCATCGTAGCTGCAATATTCTGCTTTACATTGTTGTAGTTCTTTATGGCAGCGAGTTCAAGAATAGTTGTGTTTGGTGATGCTTTACCATACAAAGCAGCAGTGATTTTATAGATTTGATTATAAATGTAGATTTACAGAAGTAAAAACTCCCACATGCAGACGGAGCGGAGCACTTTTAACATGTTCAGATGCACAAACACCAGCGCTGACACCTCCGTCCACATGTGCAGCTACATTTTTATGGGCTAATTTCATGTTGTTTACAGATATGTGCGCCTCCTCCAGCCCACGTGCCGTATCCTCAGCGGGCTAGTTAAAAAGGGTTACGACAGACTAATTCCACTGTGCCGGACCTCCACTGATGATAATCCATCAATCATCCTATTTCATGTCTTCCAAGTCTATACATTAATGGCTGGACTCACAAAGAAGAGAAGTAAACAGCTCGTAGACAAAGCGCCGGCCTTCTTTAAGAGGAGAGCTTTCTCGGTTTAAATGAATGCTCATTTGTTCTCATAGAAATGTATTCAAGCTGATTTAAATCACCATCAGAAAGACGTTACATGGTCAGCCATGCATCATCTGGTTGTTTGAGCCTGTTTACATTTGTTGCTCTCCATAAAGGGGGTTTCAGCGTTTTACTGGAATTTCTGCCGGTGTCCTTGAACCGTCTGGGCTAATTGCAGCAACATTCTTGTCCGTGTAACGTAGAGACGAACCAACAAGGAGGCTGCGACCTGTTCTTTGATTGGCGGTTTGTAGCAGCTGTATTACCAGAGTGGGCGTTTTTTTTATGATGATTTTGGGTGTGATAGTGATGCAGTGGATACCTTGTGATTCTTCACATTGGAGCAATAAATAGCAATGAATGTCATCCATCAGCTTCCTTATATACTTGTTACAGGGGGGCCTTTGTTTTCAGAAAAATAGAGTGCAGTCACGCAGCTCCAACATAAGCAACAACATAGCTCCTACATTATATGTGGTTTATCCAACATGCATGTTTAACAACAGCAACACCTTTCTGAGGATGAAAGTACTTTGTGACCTACATGTGTTAGCAGGTGTTTTATACATCCACCATGCTCCTCATGATTCATTCCTGGCTGTTTTGTTGCATTTACGAGTATTGTTGTCGACTCCAGAAAATTCCAGTGAAGTTTGTTTCATTCACTCACTCAACCAAATGTTCATATGCTTAATGTCAATATTACTGATGTTGTGAGTGAGGGAGCAAGGAAAAAGAACTAGTCTGTTTTAACCTTCTAAACCCCCAAATCTGCTAGCTTTTAATTTAATTTAAAAAAAAAGAGCCATAATGACACCATTTATCAAAGCCACAAACAGAAGTTTGAACTAATCATGTGTGATGTGCTGAAAAATTAACCAAAGCTAATATTAAACCACTGATATTTCATCAAACTCACTTTGTTTGATGTTGTGGTTAAAAAGTCACACAAAACAAATCGTCACATCCTGTAACAAAATTTCACTCCTCAGTCCAAGAAAAGCCACGAGTGATGAAACTGCAACAAATACTAAGTTTATAACCAAACTCTAGTGTCTATTTTGTTTGTTTTTTTTAGCTGAGCTGTAGGTCCTGCACAGTATGGAGTCACATTACAGGGATCAAAAAGAATATAAAACCTATTGGAGCTATGAAAAATATGCAGGATGCTTTGAAAATGCTGCCCAGTGGAGCAACTTATTGGAAGATGCATCCAGCACAGTGAAACATCTTTTTCTTGTTCATGTCCAGAGTACCATGTAAGAAGCTCTGTTTGGAAAAGTTGTAAAAATGTAAGCAGTCAAATGTCCCATCAGTGGGCTTCCCTATCACTCACCTAGTAGAGCAGGCAAACCCTGTTGTTTCTGATGCAGCGGTCGTGGCTTCGACTCCCGCTCATGACACTTTGCAGCTTCCCATTCTTCTCCCCCCGTTCCTGTCGATCTCTGCTGCTCTAAATAAAGACAAGAACCCCCAAAATATATTTTTAAAAAAACAAAAGAATCCCAGCATTGGTCACCTATGGATACCAAAGAATTGTGTTGTACTTTCGATACAGTCGAGTTTTGTAAAACAAAAAATAATTGAAGAAATTCTGCTTTGTCTTGTTTGATTTTTAGAGTAACTTATGGACTTATAGCTTTGTTCACACTTTACAAAACAAGTGTACTTTTGGTGTTGCTGTTGTCATAGAGGTGCAGGACTTTATATGACAGTAACAAAAAAACGTAAAAATGCGACTGCTTCATATGATATCAACCTACTTTTCTCTGGAGGTTCCAACCCTTAAAATGAAAAAGTCCTTTCTTTCAGTTCAAATCCAGTGAGTGCTTTCCTGAAGAGTTGATGTCTGTAGGCCTCAGAGCTCAATGCCCTTTATTCCAGAAAAGCTTCTTAAATTACAGTTGATCTGTTAGGACAACTGTAAATCCAACTGGTTCAGCCGTTTCATATACATTGGTACTTGTGGCCAGCATCAAGTTTAGCATCGTCCTTTTGATAATTGTTGGAAAATGGATTTCAGTCTCTGTCAGTCTATCATTCTGTTTTGGTCACTTTCAACCTGCAGTGTGAATTTATTCATGTCTTTCTTTATGTCCTCAGCTCTTTGGCGTTTGTATATATTTTTTTCTTTTTTCTTTTTTGAGCCTTCAAAGTTGTATCTATGCATTTTTGTGAGTCGTTTCTTCGTGCTGTGTGTGTGCAGATGTCGGCCCCTTTCCAGCCTCCCTCCAGCAGGGGGTCCGTATCTGATCCAGATGATCTCGCTGTTGTTTTTCAGAAGGGTCAGGCCGGCTGCAAAATAAATCCCCTTGTTTTTACTCTTTTAACTGGAACTCTTTTAGTCCCAAACGTGGATTACACAAATATTTGACTGGATGAGCCGACTGTTGACCAAATCTTTTTTCCCCCCAAATAACATCCAAGCTGTTTGCTTCTCTTTGAGCCGGTCGGTCACTAATTTGACATGATCTTCTCAATGCGTGTCTCAAGGAAATGGCAGAGAATGTGTCCTTTATGTGCTTCGTTTTGAGATGATCTGTTGTGAATATTCCTCTGAGGTAGTGCTGACATCACTGGCGACATTTGTCAGCTGATGAAACAGAGAGATCCTTGTCTGACACTCTGTGTGGCTCAAACATGCACAACATCAGTTAGCGTTTCTTCTCCAGCTGCCTCTGCGTCAAAGAGAACATTTGAGAGCATTAATTTGTTGTTTGTGTGTCGACTTCAGTGTCTCCGGTTTGTGCCGGTTTGTCTTTTTCTATGAACATGTGGGATATATTCATTTAAACTCTCTTTTTTTTTTTTGCCAGATGTCAAGCTGATGTCATGCTTCAGTCTGCAGATCTTTGAACAATCTTCTATCTCAAATCATTTTTATGGCATGAAAAGGTTTACATATTGGAAAGCAGTTAGAAGACTCTTGTGTTTTTTACTCATGAGAGATGTCTTCTTCAAATTTTATTGAAAATGTTGTTGATTTCAGTGACATTTAATATCGTGAATCCACAACAAACAGTAGAGCACAACATTGAATTCTTGGAAATTTCTCTGCCTCAAGTTATTCTTTTTTTTTTTAACCCTTTTAACATATCCATATAAAGGCTTTTATATTTTTCCTTGAAACTGCCCCCCATCAATGATGATCTCACAATTCACACCTCCAGGGTTTCATATATAACAAACCTAAGGAACCAATCACGTCAGCTTATAGGACGGGGCTTTCTCTGTCAGTATTCTTCTTTAGAGTTGGTTTCCAGTTCAAATGTGTGGCTGAAGTACTCCAGTGATACAACTTGTGTCATTGTGTTTGAGCAGAGTTGTTGATGAGCTGGTGTGCTTCAGCTCTAGGTGTTGTTCGACTTTCACTTTTAATTTGTTTCCTTGCTTTCCTCCTATATGCTCTGTGGAAGCATGGCCTGCAGTTCAGCCGAGTTCAGGCAAAAAAAATCCTTGAATTTTAGTCTCGACCATAGACTGTATAAAAGATGGACGTAGCAACCAGCCCTGAAAAATGAAGCCAACCCGGAAGTGTCAAAAACCTACGTCCGAGAGCTGCTGGCTCCAAAAAGCCCTGGCTCCCATAGACTTGAATTGGAAAAGAAGTGATCACAGATACACGAAATACTGCATTCCTACAGCTCAGGATTTCTTTCTTATTAGTTTTCATGGTCAAATTCAGAGATCAGGTGGCCAATCTGAAAATAAATCAATACTGAATTTTTAAAAAAATTGTCAAAATTTTGCGGGCCAAGGGGCGTGGCTGGCTTGATTGACAGTCGACAGCGACGATGCAGACGAAGCGAGCAGAAGGCGGTAAATGTGGGCGGGCAGAGAGGACCCGCCCCTCAATCCGTTTGACCAATCACTGCTCCTATGGCTCTGCCCCCCCTCTGACGATTTTTGCGTCACTGGCTCCAAAAATCCAAGATGTCAACCAGGAAGTAGCAAAACCCTGGCTTCACTTTCTCAGTGCAGAAACCAATGGGTGACGTCACGGTAGCTACGTCCATCTTTTATACAGTCTATGGTCTCGACTCAATTTGAGTCATTGATAGCTTCTTGATT